AGGCTGACTGTGGAAGTGTTCAAATTAATGCAGAGAGGAGCCAGTTATGAGAGGGTTCACTTGTACTAAATTAAAGGCAAACAAACTCTTAGCTAAGTGGGTGAATTTATAAACATTGGGGTGAGGGAGAAAGGTATCCTCAGAACACATTGTATAAGTAACTTATGTCTGTTTAGTGGTGCTGAGACCGATCGGGGGAGACAGCTTCAAAGTCCAAGTACCTGGGCCTCCTACCATTGTTTTTAAGTGTTTGGTAAAGTGGTGTAGAGTGGTAGCTCTACGTTTTAATTTTCTGGAATACTTCGATGTATCAACCTGAAAGCGTGGCTAGAATGTGAATACACGTTATATGTGAGACTGGGGGGGGGAAGAGTTTGCAAGCTTTGGAAATTTGTCTAAAGAATGAAAGAAACAAGCCAAAAAACCAATATTGAATGAATGGTAATTGACCTAAGAAGGGCAAAAAGGTTAGAGAAGACTTATATATAGCCAAAACAGACCTTACAGACACAACACAAATTCAGTGTTACGCATCTGCTAAATGTGTAAGAGATATTCTCTTGAGGACTTCTAAACTTCAAAGATTTTTTTTTTTTTTCATTTTGGCGATACTATTTTGAAAAGTTGAGTTTTGTGGAATTTGTTTGGGGTTTGGGTGGGCCTTATTTCGAGGTAGATTCATTATGTTATCTTTTTAAAAACAATGTTATTTTTAAATACTTTTATTCCCTCAGGCTGTGTTGACTAATTTGTAGGTCATGGGATAAAAAGGTGACCAAAAAATCAAACAAACCCCCAAACCCATTTGAGTTATTTCAAAGTGGTATTTGCCCAAAACAGAAAGGAAAGGAAATGAGGATGGGCGTGTTGGCTTTGCTGCAGAGTGCATGTGAGGAGCTGGAAGGGCATTGGCTAGCTCGGTTGGAGGAGTACATGACTCTTGATCTCAGGGTTGTGGGTTCGAGCCCCACGTTATGTGTAGAGAGTACTAAAAAAATAAATAAATAAACTTAAAAAAAATTTTTTTAAAAGAGAAGGAGTTGCAGATCTGGTGGTAGGAGTATCTGAAAATCAGCCCCACAAAGCTGACCATTGAGTAATGACATTCCAATCCCAGATACTGGGGTCCCAGGCCTGGCTCAGATTGGAAAAGTTGGGAGGAGGTTGGGAGCACTTTTTCAGCTGACAAGGCATGTGCAGAGGAAAAGGAAAATGTAAGGTTTGGTGAACTAGCTTTTTCTTCTTCCTGGGTTTATGTGTGCTCTCTCCATGGCATTCTGAAGGGAACATAAGCCCCAAGAAACAAATCAGGGAAAAAACTTAGTGTTCCCATGTATTTCCAAACCTTACAGCATGAATTTCCCCCAAGAAACTTAATATATGGTTTTCCTCCTTTGTATTGCAAATAGAACTGTTTTTGTGAAACCAACATTGAGACTACAGCTAGCTATGGGGCTTTACTTTATGTTTATGGAGGTCTGACCACTGGTACACTTGGATCCCCCCAAAACAAGCTCTATTACACTGGCCTTGTTGAAATTATGTATTTCTGCTGCAGAAATACCACCAATTAAAAAAAAAAGATTTTATTTATTTATTTGTCAGATAGAGAGGGAGAGAGCCACAAGCGGGGCGGGGGGCAGTAGGCAGAGGGAGAAGCAAGCTCCTTGCTGAGGAGGGAGCCTGATGCGGGACTCCATCCCAGGACCCTGGGATCATCACCTGAGCTGAAAGCAGACGCTTAACCTACTGAGCCACCCAGGCCTCCCCAAATACCACCAATCTTAAAGTAGGAGAGCAAACATGAGGCCTCAGGCCAGGAGAAAAAGCCCTATATGCAGTTTGGGAACTTCTGAAAGGATTTAAATACAATGTTAACCCCATCAACTAGGACACTGAGAAGACAGTGAAGTCTGACAGTTTTGTTTGTGTGTTTGTTTGCAAAAATAGTTGGCAGATATGTAGGAAGGAACCATTTTATGACCCCTTACCCTCATTGCTGTCAACTGTCCTCCTAAAATGCGTGTTCTACCTTCTTGCCTTAAGAATAAGGGGTGGGGGGCGCCTGGGTGGCTCAGTGGGTTAAAGCCTCTGCCTTCGGCTCGGGTCCTGATCCCAGGGTCCTGGGATCAAGCCCTGCATCGGGCTCTCTGCTCAACGGGGAGCCTGCTTCCCCCTCTCTCTCTGCCTGCCTCTCTGCCTACTTGAGATCTCTTTCTGTCAAATAAATAAATAAAATCTTAAAAAAAAAAGGATAAGGGGTGGGATTGGGAAATCCTGGTTGAATAGCAGTATCTAGGATAAGCTGCCCACCAGACAGCAACACTTGCAGTCCAGGATCCCGGAACTGTATTCAGAGTAGAGCAAGCTGACCTGGCTCTGAGCCCGGGAAGGTTTGTAGAGTGGGCCAGGCTGGAGTATGCGGAACTGACAGTGGCCGCGGTGGTCTGGGTGGCCAGAGATCGGTGAGCATTTTAGTTAATTTCAGTCAAGTTGGTCTACACTTTCCTTAACACTACAGGCTAAATTCAAGGCAGTGTTCATGGTTTCAGCAACTCTCGTGTCCCAGCTAGACATGCTCCATGAGACCCCACGAACTCCATGGGACCCCAAGACTAGGGCCTTCCTTTGCCAGACTACTTTTTAACTGTCAAGAGGTTTCAGAGGACTAATGACCCCTCAGACATCCTTGAAGGAAATCTGTCTAAAAAACCAACGCTTTTCCTCCTATTAGTAATTGACTTTGTGCTGCAGATAAGCCTTTCAAATAGGGACCGTTCCTGTCAATATAACTTTCAAGAGGGCCCACTATTTACAATGCCTATGTTGCACCCCAAAACACCCCAAAACTCTCTCTGTAGTGAGGAGGGGACAGAAGGTAACTGGATGGCTGAGGATCTGCTGTCAGGATACAGACCTTTTTTTACCTTATTACCAAGTGTTGGGTCAACAACAAAGACCCAGGGCTAGACCAGGTCATTAGCTAGACCTGCGTCCAATACCTGAAAAAAACCATTTGAATATTAAAATCGGGAGGAGAGAGACAAAGCAATAAGCCTATTCCAGAACCTGGCACATAGCTGGTGCTCACTAAGGATGAGCTAAAGGGAGGGGGTCTTGTGTTAACTTTCCTGAGTAAATAGCTTCCCTTGGTGTGACGTATAAAATCTCCATGACATATACAGTTGCATGTAAGCTTTTTTCTATAATGACATTAAGTGTCCAGTATGTTAAACTGATCCCTTTTCCCCTCTGATTGCAGGTGTGGTTTAAGAACAGAAGAGCCAAGTGTAGGAGAGATGAGAGAGCAGCAACGCTCAGAAATGCACCACGGGCTAACCTGGACCACCTTTTCATCTTCATGCTGGATGGGCCCTAGAATGCCACCCTCGTTCAGAAGCCAAATTGGAGATAGGTTCTTCTTGTGTCACTGACACCCTACTACCCTATCTCCCTTATAGTTGCATTATCAATAAAGAGGCAAGTTCTGCATGCATTTGTCTTTGTGAACCAAATGGGGGCAAGTAGGTTCTGTACGTAAATTGATAAGGAAATGCCGTTGAAACAGAACGACAAGGTGTTATGCCCGAGTTTTCATGTCTGAGAGACCACCAAGGAGCCAACACCGATGTAATCACATGAGGGTTTATTTGACAAGCTTAAGCTTGGGCCCAAGTATACCCGACACAGCGGAGTAGGGACCTGGACCCTGAACCAGATTACAGTCAGAGTTTTTAAAGGCAGAGTAGGGGTGGACTCGGCGGTGGGTGAGGACAAAGGGGATATTCAGAAGGGCTATCAGGGTAAAGAAGACTGTCAGGATATTGGAGGCCTAGTTATTATCAAGCCAAGGCTGTTTTTCCCTCTAATGAGGCACTAACAGGAAGACAGCTGGGAGTTTCCTGGTGGAATGTCACATTCCTCCTATCAAGCGTCCTTGCTAGTGAGATTTAGCACTGGGACATTTGTAAACCGAGGGAGAATCCTGTCTTGCAGGATCACGATCTTTGCAAGTTAACTATTTGTTCACACATACTACTGAGGGGAGGGGAGCGGGTGGAGAGGGGGTGCAAGGTGCCAGCTTTTGCTTTGTCAAGATGGCTGACTTATGTCAGGGCTAGACTTGAGGTGGGTACAGCCTTGTTTTTCTTGGCCTCCACAAAGGTTTCCTTTCACGAGGCTACATCCCGGAATCGCTCTGTGTGGGCCCTGCACGTCACAGAAGCTCACCAAGGACCCATGATGAGCTTGCCCTGACCCATATATTCTCTTCTATCCCTCGGCCCACCTTTATCCCCACCTTGCCCCTTTGGGACCACAGATATGTGCAAGATGGGGTGGGGTGAGTCCCTAGTGAGAGGACAGTGTCATTTCTGGAGGAGACTAGCTCCACTCATGCTGACATGTTCGGGCTGAACACTGGACTCTGGGGAAACCTCTTAAGAAGCTCCTCACAGGGATTCAGGGGAAGATGGCTACCAAACACCGAACCAGTAGGTTTCAAATTCTGTTCACCACCCTCCCTTTTTGTGGAGGGGACTGGGGAATAGAAGCCATTCTGGCACACAGGTTCTGTTGCTTCAGCAGAAAAATGAGAAGAGATTCCATCAAGGCCAGAAAGAGGCTCTTCTCCCTTTTCTTCCATCCCCACCACTCCCCTCCCCGCCACACCGCCCCAGGATAGCATTTTATCGATCTTTCTCCAGCTCAGAAGCTGACCATCACGCCTTTAAAAGTATTTTGTCACCTTCAACATCCTTGAGAGGAACCCAATTCCTGTTGTTCAACACTGAAAGGGGACCAGCTGGTTTACTGCTGCTCAAAGCAAGAGTAAGGAGACGTCTCCTGAGCAGTGTTCTAGAATAATCCCTCATTGAGAAGAAGCAGGCATACCTTTGCTTTGTTCCTGCTGGATTCTCTGTGTACAAATGTCAGTGTAGAGAAAAACAAGGAAAGGTTGGTGAAGTGAAGAAGCCAGGCCTACTTTTTTTTTCTTTCTTTAAAATACAGAATGCTTCACGAATTTGCACCTCACCCTTATGCAGGGGCCGTGCTCACCGTCTCTGTATTGTTCCAATTTTAATGTACATGCCGCTGAAGCGAGCACAGGCCCACTTTTTTTTTAAAGGATTACTTTTTTCTCAGTTCCACCTTTGTTTTTGATTAATCTGTAGCAATGCGAGGCTTGTTTCATGGAGTTCTGTGTGGAAAGCGATCAATTGTGGCTGCCGTGGTCATGTGAAGTGATTGCAGAAACTACAGACCAGGTGTCCTGGTCACATCAGAGTTTCCCCTCATGGGAGTTGATCAGAGACCAGTTTCACAGTGCTTGTACGTTCCCAGTGTGGAAGGCTCTGTTTTCTTGGGAAAGCATGTGCTCTTGGCCATGGTGGCCATGAATGTTTTATTCCTTCTTCCTATCTTTCTCACTCGTGAGTGACAAGATGTCAGAGAAGTGGTTGCAATGTCAGGCTTCCACAAAGGGGATGTTACTGTTACCCAGAGACCCCAGGCCTTGCTGGGAGTGAGGGAAATTCAAGAATGTTCCTGTGCAGACATGCCCATTGCCATTCTCACCAGATGATCTTGAAACCAAAAAGCATTTCCTAGGGTTGACTGATGAGGGAGCAGAAGGCTGACTGAGGACAAAGCAAAAGCTGGCACCTTGCACCCCCTGTCTACCCGCTCCTCTCGGTAATATGTGTGACATTCCTCAGGCACCCCTGGCTGCCCTAAAAGAAAAACAAATAGTTAACTTGCAGAGATCACGATCCTGCAAGACAAGAGTCTCCCTCAGGTCTACAAATGTCCTAGTGATTTACAACAAAGAAGCTGTCTTATCAACAGCCCAATTTCCAGAGGCAAATAACTCAGTTCCTCAAGCCCTAAGGTCGCCCTCCCCTCCATAAAAACTGAAGGAGGCTGAGGTAAAAGGAAATGTAAATAAAGCTAAATTTCTTCTAAACCTAAGTCTCACTAACAAGGATGTTTGATAAGAGGAATGTGACATTCCACCAGGAAACTCCCAATTATCTTCATGTTAGTGCCTCATTAGAGGGAAAAACGGCCTTGGCTTGACAATAACCAGGCCTCCAATATCCTGACAGTCTTCTTTACCGTGACAGCCCTTCTTAACACCCCCTTTGTCCTCACCTACCTAACTCCTGTGTATATAATCAGCCACTCCTCAGGACAGCGGGGCAGCATCTCTCCTGCCCACGGGTCCTGTCCCCGTGCTTTAATAAACCACCTTTTTGCACCAGAGACGTCTTAAGAATTCTTTCTTAGACATCGGCTCCAGACCTCACCCCATCGAACCTCACCTAGGTTCTAGAACTTCATCATTGACCACTGTCTTTCTTTTTTTTTTTTTAAGATTTTATTTATTTATTTGACAGACAGAGATCACAAGTAGACAGAGAGGCAGGCAGAGAGAGAGGAAGGGAAGCAGGCTCCACGCTGAGCAGAGAGCCCGATGCGGGGCTCGATCCCACGATCCTGGGATCATGACCTGAGATGAAGGCAGAGGCTTTAACCCACTGAGTCACCCAGGCGCCCCATGTCTTTCTTTTTTATTTTTTTTTAAGATTTTATTTATTTAGTTGACAGACAGAGATCACAAGTAGGCAGAGTCAGGTGGAGAGAGAAGTGGGGAAGCAGCCTCCCTGCTGAGCAGAGAGCCCGACGCGGGGCTCGTTCCCAGGACCCCGAGATCATGACCTGGGCTGAAGGTAGAGGCTTTAACCCACTGAGCCACCCAGGCGCCCCGTCTTTCTTTTTTAAATATCGAGTTTCTCAATGCTTTAAGCACCTTCAGAACTACGGGGTCTGTACCAGTATGCTCCAGGTACCGTCAGACCCAGTCCTAATCCCTTCTCTGCTCTAGTCACAGCCGGAAAAACCACACACAGCTTTCCCACCCAGAGACTGAAAGCCGGAGAACATTCAGCACAAATCCCTCAGTTAACCCTCACATTCAGTCTGACACACGCTAGCAAAGAACATTCTTTTTTGAAGCTCATGCTGTCAGGAAGAAACAAACAACAACAAGAAAGGATACCTTTCCTGTAAGTGCATGGCATTTTTGTCACACGTGTTTTTAAACTTGTCTTTCCTTTCAGATCCCAGATGTATTAAGGCAGAGTGGTGGCTTGAAACATAAGAAATACACAGAATTGGGCTGCAGATAAAAATTTACACTTAGTCTAGGTTTACAAAGAAAGGTCTTCATTAATCCCCCAAATTAATGAATGCCCCGAAGGTTATTCCCCCCCCTTTTTTAAAGATTTTATTTATGTACTTGAGAGAGAAAGCAAGCTAAAGCAAGACCATGAGTGAGGGGGAGGGAGAAACAGACTCTTCACCGGGCATGGAGCCCACATGGGGCTCAATCCCAGGACCCCAGGATCACCACCCGAGCTGAAGGCAGACTCTTAACTGACTGAGCCACCCAGGAGCTCCAAGAAAATTTCTCTTAATGTACATTTCAAACATCCTGAAAGCATAGCTCAGGAATTAGTTATTCTAATATAAGGAAATACCTTTGATTTATTAAAAAAAATCTTTAGAAACCGGTTACCAGTGGGGCGCGTGGCTGGCTCAGTTGGTGGAGCATCCGAGTCTTGATCTCAGAGTTTTAAGTTTGAGCCCCATGTTGCGTGTAGAGATCACTTAAAAATAAAATATACTTTTTTAAGATTTTATTTATTCCTTTGACAGAGAGAGAGAGAGAAAGAGAGCGAGCACAAGGAGGGGGAGCTGCAGGCAGAGGGAGAGGGAGCGACATGGGGCTGGATCCCAGGACTCTGGGATTGTGACCTGAGCTGAAGGCAGATGCGTAACGGACTAAGCCACCCAGGCGCCCCCAAAATAAAATCTTTTTTCTTAAAAAAAGGAAAAAGAAACTAGCAACCAACAACTTCATCGACTTGAAATGGGTTGTTTTTGTAGATGTTAGTTTTTTTAAACCTTTTTTTTTTTTAAGTAATCTCTACACCCAACAAAGGGCTCAAACTTACAACCCCAAGATCAAGAGTTGCATGCCCTACCGGCTGAGCCAGCCAGGTGCTACTATAGATGTTGGTTTTTGCTGAAAAGTTGTAAGTACAATCTTCAAGGAGTTCAGCAGATTCAGCATTTTATAGTAATCTAATAGTTCTCGATGTAGTCTTGCTTTCTACAGTTTTCCATAATAAACAACACATGCCAGCTAACTTTCAAATGGTAAAGCTGATGGTCAAATTAAGTAGGAAGAAGGCGTGAACTATTTGGGGGGATATGTTTTTTGACTAAAATTAGATTTACGTAACCTAGATCTTGATTTAAACAACTATGATCAGAACACTGGAGATTTCACTTGGAAGTCCCTGACAATCAAAATTCCAGACAACTGTTTTAACTATAAGTACTTAGCAACAAAGGGCCAGGGGCAAAGGAAGGGACTAGAAACAACTCTTTATATCTCAATACGAGAGTGTGGGGGTGCCTGACTCAGTCAGTAGAGCACGCAACTCTTCCTCTCTGGGTCCTGAGTTCAAGCCCCATGTTGGGCATAAAGATTACTTAAAACAAAAAAAAAATTCAGCACAAGAGTGTGGTCTCTCAGGGACACTGGGCTGGCTCAGTTGGTAGAGCCCGTGACTCTGGATAAAAAAAAAAAAAAGTGGTCCTTCCAAATAGATATGAGAAGTGACTTTTTAAACAAAAATAATATTACTATAAATGTATACAAAATAGAGGAATGGAATCTGTTCCGAGTTGTCTTCACAAGAACAGAAATACATTTGCCAGAGTTCTGATCGTGGGGCGCTGTGCTTATCACTGGGCTTGCTCTGAGTACCCCATGCATGGACTGACCTAGCATGTAGTTATTGGTGACGATGTGACATCTCTAAGAAGGGCTGGAGTCCTGGACGTGGAATAATGGAGCAAAGAGAGAGTCCTTCACAGCCTTTCCTGGTAGGTAAGGCGAACTTGGTCTCATATGACTTGCTGTAGCCCAGGATGGGACTGGAGTTCTCAAAACCTTGAGTGGACACCTCAGAATCAGTTGCTATGGTAACACACCCCTGGTCCTAGGAATGTGGTCCTAGGAATGCCGTGTGCCATTACTTTTGTTTGGGGATTCCTTTGAGACTTCTGGCTGCTCCCATTAAGCCAAGGCAGCAAGGTGTCCCAGAGAGAGCCAGTCCTTGCCTCAGCCACCTCCTCTCGGCAAACTGGTACTCATTTTCCTTTGTGCGACTCTCACACAAGCTCACTTGCATGGGGCAAGTGAGACAAATGTTCACAGGCCCTGTAGGAAAAGCTCAGCAACAACAGAGAACCAGCCTCACCATCTCGTGCTGCTCTTCCAAACAAAGTACCTCTGTGTCTTCTGGGGGGACACCCGTGTTAAAAGAAGAAATCACCGTCATCACTGTTTCGTAAGGGACTTACACCAGCATCCCAGTCCATTCCCTTCATATGACAGAGGACGGAACACAAGTGCAGAGCAGTGGGTGACCCGTGAGAGAGAGCGTCCGGAGTTCATCTCACTGAGGTCTGGCCTCTAAGCAGCCATGCCCTGCCATGGTCCTGGAGCCACCCAGAAAGGAGCAGCGCTCACCCAGGTTGAAAGCTTCAGCACTCACCCCACCTTTGCGCACAGAGCTCTCCTTCAAAGTGCTCTCCAATCAAGGTTTCACCCTCTGTCCCAGCATACAGCCATCCCTCACTTAAGGCATGGAGTCCTGGTGTGCCCTCTTGCTCACCAAATATCACCGCCTTTCTCCCTTCACATAAAGATACGATTGGAGAGTTACTCAGTTTCTCTGGAATCTATGACACCAGGAGCCATCGGCTGTGCTCTGGGATCGGGGCTGCTGGCTTAGGTTTATAGCGTCCTCATTCTCAGTCCTTTCCAGATCCTGGGGACCAGCTTCCTGGCACTCAGCCTGACTCCCTAGCATAGCCGGCCGACATCCCAGGGGCCTGGTGGGCAGTAGAAGACAAACAAACCAAAAACAGAAATAGAAACACACACTGGCGGTTGCCAGAGGGACAACCTCGCCGAGTTTATACGATACTGTCCCTACCTGTGCTGATAGCTCTCTTTCTGGAACAGGT